GTAACTATATATATAATATACGGATTTGCTGCCATAAGTAACGTCTTGAAAAACGTTTGTATCGTCATCTTAACTCGTGTGTAAAATGAATAAAAATGGCATCTTTAACATACAGTACAAAAATATATTTTCAATAATTAAACATTGTAGCATAGTTTTTAATATGGAGGACTCCATTAAGCATAGAAACTCAAATTTCCCTTTTAAAATAATAAAAAATAAATACAACAAACATCACGGATTAATCTTAACCTGTCTTTGTCCACAAGTTCGATTCAAAGAATCAAATAGTTATTATAATAAAGTATTTGACAAAAAAAAAAATTAAAAATATTTTTTTATTAACCTAGATATCCAACCCGTTAAGTGAGTCGACTAATCCTATGACGACCACATGCTTTGCAGATAGTCCGAAGTCACCGCATTTGAACCTCAGTGGCCACAAGAGAATTTTTATTCTTCTTTGGATTTGAACCTGGGAACTCTTGGTACTTTTGACTTTTGGAGCTAAGATCAAACCAATCAGACATCGCCCTTGTGGTTTAAATAAAAATATAGACATAAGTACAATTTATTAAAGCATGAAGTATATTTTATTGATGCACATTACTTAAAATTCAAGAGTACAACTTATTAAAGCTCCATATTTGAATTCGTATAATTAACTGTAGATAAACATAATCAAATATAGGATAAACATTTCATTTAAAATATAAAAAATCTAATTATTATCTTTATAAAAAATTATATTATTAAACCAAAAATAAAATAGTTTGTTATTAATCGTAAATTAAATTACAATAAAAAATATTGACTTGGAGAAATTACACAAAAGAACGAAAACTTTTAAATAATTAATTTGATATTAATTTCAATATACTTTTCTGTCAAATTTTTATAATATTTTAATATTTATATTTTATTCAAAAATAAAAATATTATCGTTTTCTCAAAACCATAAACTTAGTTACCATAGGGAGCATATCGATACCCATTAACCATAGTCTACAAAACATAAACCACATTCAAAAATAAAAACGTTACCATTTTCTCAAAACCACACAAAACCATATTACAACATCGACAAAGACAAAAAACAAAACAAAACATTAAAATCAAGATGCATCTCACCGCATTACGCAAATACCTTTCTAGCATAAACTTCATAATCAACAGTCGATCAATCAGCAAAATCCAAACACTGAGACGTCACAGTTCTTGGACATATTACGACGTGACAATACAACACATGCGACATCAACAAAGGAAAAACAAACGCTCGGACAACGTCTTTTATATCCCAACAGTAAAATCATACATCTCTTATCCATTATCTTTCATTTAATTTGGTCAAATAGAAACCCATTTGAAAAAAAAAAAAGTCCATCCACTTTATTTGTGAATGATGAGTACAAAATCCAAGATCTTGGAAGCAAAAAGCAACCCTAAATTATGGGCATTTGGGGTGGTAGAGAAATTTAAGTAATTTGTAGCACTAATTATGGGAAAAGGTAAAGAAAAGTGTTCTTTATGTCCCCTTGAAAGATTTACATTTTGGACATATGTTTCATAAAGTAATTATATAATAAATGCTTTTTCATTTTTATAAAATAAATAAATATCTGGGTTATTAGTTTAGTCAGTATTAAAATAAGTGTCTGTTTTTAACAGTAATTGTCTGCTTTTTCAATCTGTTTTTAACTGTGACGAGAAGGACGGTTCTTTTATAATTAAAGGTAAAATTGTTGTCTTGTTAATTAAAAAAATATGATAAATTGATGATTGTAAGTTTCTGTTTTTTTTTTTATTGTGAACATTTATTTTGAAATAGAATAAAGTAATAATTAATATCAAATTATTAGTTATATAAAAATGTTGTTATAGAAAATGGTGTTTGGATTTGTTTTTGTTATTTAAAGTTGTAATAAGTTGTTAATGAAGTGCTTAACAAATTCTTTTTCATATCAAATGGTCTTTAGTGTAGCGGTATTGTAGTCTTTGGCCTCCTAAGAAATTAGGGGTTCAAACATCATTAAATGTGAGAAGAGTGTGTGAGTTTATTTGTTGCATTTGTCGTATATAAATATTATATGCTTCAAAAAAAATTCTGTTTGATTTATATCAAATTCTCTTAAACCCTAAATTACTTATTTTTTAATGACAAATTATTCTATTTTTTGAAGAAAAAAACATTTAATGCTTGTATATGTTATTGTTATATTGTATTTAAATTAAAAATACGATTATTCGTAAGAATGACAAGTGCATTGTCCTTTAGAAAACCGACACACGTTCTTCTCCTTGTTATCCATAATAACAACGAAACAAAAGTAAAATAGTATTGAAAGTGAAGTTACTTCCCGACAATTTTTCGTCTAGTATTTGTGTCATGTCAAGTACATGATATCAACTGTGGTGTGTAGATGTCGTGTTTAAATCCTTACAAAATTAATAAATATGCAAATGCCCAATTTCCCATTTAAATAAAAGCTTATTTCATTTAAGGGTAATTTTTTTTTTGTAAAATGTACAACCATATTAATCTGTTGTGTGCCACTGTATGTATTTTGAAACTATAATGAAAACAAATTTTATTTGATATAGTTGGTTTGCAAGACTTTTATTTCACCCCAGACCCAAGTTCGAATCATGTTAGTGTCATCATTTTTCATAGTCAAATGGTGCGACCAATTGAAAATTTTATAGGTCCACGCGTCCCTGAATCATATATCATCCATTCATATACAAACGAGATATATGTGTGTGTCGGTTTTTGAAGAGATGATAATTTCCATTATGTAATAATTAAGCAAAAAATATATTAATCCCAAAAACCCTAAGTTTGGTATGAATGATTTAAACTTAAAACCCAAGTAATTAATGTTGAATTTGGAGTAAGTAATTAACATTAGATTATGCAGTAAATGAAGGAAACCCTAATTAATCCCCATCTCTTATTTTGTTTTTATTTATTTTAGGATAAATTCACAACAACCACTTATTAATTTAATTTAACCATTTAAATAAAAATATATTGGATTTTTAATTTCTTCTACATTCAACTTTCATTCCTGTGGGGCATATCAACTTCTTAAAGGAACATCAGTTATGGAAGAATGGTACCTCTACCTGTCAGATATATATATATATATATATATATATATTCATGTGAAAAATCATATAGGTTCAAAAGTTATCTGCTTTTATTTTTTTGACGTTGTGATTTTGTAAGTTAACGATATTTTTTTTTGTTTTCTTAAATAATTATCATTTCCATTTGAACCTTACTTTCTCCCTCCCTCTCTTTCTCTTTCTATATATATATATATATATATATATATATAGATGTTGGTTATTATATAACCCTTCATATTTGTGCAACCAATACAACCTAATCTCAACCGTCCATTTCATTTGATTAATATGTGATTTCATAGAAGTTTTGATTGTTTCCTAATATAAAGTATTGATCATAATTAATGAATCATATTCATCTTCTATAAATATTCAAATCATAATAAATGAACTCTCATCATTTCCATAAATATCTCAATTTATTGGGTTGCATTGGTTGTACAAATGCGATAGGTTGTATTTGAAACAAACTCTATATATGTATGTATATATAGGCAAATAAAACGAGAACCACAAAAATTTATAAACTTTTGAGTACATATTTTAAAATAATCTTTTACATATTTTTCATCAAATGCTAGGATTTAAAATATTGTTTCACATAGAATTTTTTCCATAATATGAACACAAACATATATGATATCTTAGATCATAGTTTTTTATTAAACAAAATCATATAAAAAATATTTTTATGTCGGTTCTCACGAGTATATAACATTTTAGTGATTCTCATTTGATTATCGTCCTACATACACACACACACACACACACACACACATATATATATATATATGTATACAGACAAAAGATCGTGTGAGAAAGAAAGTTATAGCGATAAACGTAAGAAGATAATCTGAGCTCTTGATCACTTTTAATCTCATGTTCACCCATAAATTTCATTTTAGAAGAGAATTGATCTGGTGCATCTTGGTGCACCTCGTTAATGTTGACATTCAATTAGGATTGATCCAACTGAAGATTTCTTCTTATGTTTATTATCGGAACCCAACCGTATATATACACCACATATATATATATATATAGAGAGAGAGAGTCATATTTAAGGGAAAATTGAAAAAAAAAAAAAAAGCTGAGATACATCCTAGTAAACGTTCATCTATATGATATATATATATATATATATATATACATGTGCATACAAGTAATTTATACATAATTTGTAAGATCAAGATGACGTAGTTATTAGAATTTTTATAATTCTCATTCTGGTATTAATTATAAACCCTAGTTGGAGTGATCAACAACGATGTAATCAAATTAATTAACCATAAGTACCATTTTAATGTATATACTAGAAGTATACTCGCACAATGCAACGAAATGCATTTCGATTTTAATGTTTCATTTTTTTTTGTTTCCGTCGATGTTATAATATGATTTTATGTGATTTTGAGAAAGCGATAATGTTTTTATTTTTTAATAAAATATAAATTTAAAAAAATATATTAAATTCTCATTCTTTTGTTATAATTTCTTTAATTCAATTTTTTTAATTATAATTAAATTAGGTTTAATAATGAAGTAATTTATTTTTTTGTTCAATAATGTAATTTTTTATAAAGATAATATTAAGTATTCTGCTAAAATTCAATAATTATCTTAATTGTATTTTAGATTTTTTATATTTAAAATAAGAAGTTTATCATGTATTTTATTATGTTTATCTGCAGTTAGTTACACGAATTCAAACATGGAGATTTAATAAGTTGTATTTACGCACAATTTACTTGTAATCTTATATATTAAGTAATATGCATCAATAAACAGCAACTCATGCATAAAAATGGTTTTTAAGAGTTTTTGTTAAGTATTTTATAATATAGTATAGATATATAGAATTAGAATTGAAATGCTATTCAGTACAAAACATTACATGATTAAACTTTGAATAATTGAAGCTTCGGGGCTATTCGCATCAACAGTGGACAACAACTGTGACAATCGGTCGCTAAGATCATCAACCTCTTGATGCAAGCTTCTCACATAGTTACAAGTCTCTTGTAACACCTTCGATGCTGATGCCTGTACCCAAAATTTCAGTTTTCTTAACAAAAATATATAAATAAAATATTAGAACAAACACACACACACACACACAAAAACTAAATATACATAGAGATAGAGGGGTCTTAAACGAGAATAAATTCAAATAAAAGAACATGAGAAACAATCAAATCACATGTGATATTACATTGCAATCAAATGATATCATGGAATACTGTCAACGCAAGATACATACATGTATACAAACAAGTTGATCAGTGGGCAAAGTCATGTTGTAATCACATGTGAATTTAGTGTAAAATCGTATCTAATTGACTAATATGTAATCATTTAAACATCCCTTCTCTCTCTCTCTCTCTCTCTCTCTCTCTCTTTATATATATATATATATGTATGTATGTGTATATATATATATATATATATAAAAGTGGTTTTACGGTTAGAGGGTAGATGAATATATTGTAGTGTAGTATGGTGTTGTTCTACAACTACTCATGTGACCCTGAAACAGTCCCTTGACGTTTATATGTTAGTGTCGACTCTCACATGCACAGTGATTACAATTAATAAATCGAAGAAATTGAAAAGTCAAAGCACAGTATCCACTCACTTTTGACTCTTTTCTAGCTTAGGGTTTTTTAATTTTTACAACACCACCCAACATAAAATCACATCCACTTTTCAACATATATATATATATATATATATATATATAATTCGTAATTCGTATGCATGATACCAGTTATCCCCTTAATTACCAATGAAAAATAAATGGTCGAATAACTTCGAAATGGAACTCAAATCCTCATCATTTTTTGAAGTCAAAAGATCGTTGACGACAAATGTCAATTAAGGATATAATATATATATATATATATATATATATACATATATATGTGTGTGTGTGTGTGTGTGTGACTGTATGTATGTACATATGGTTTGAAAGATGAACTAATCTTTAACCCGTAGATGGGGAGAAAATTACGCGTTTGATTGAATAAGATTACCTTGTTGGAACGACGATTGCGAATCTCAGGAAGAAGTTGTTGCAACTTGGAGAGGAGTTGTATGATCTGATCATCGGTGATTCTGGGAGCTTCCCTTGATCTTCTACTCGACATTATGATTAGAACGGAATTGGAAGTGGAATTGGAATTGGATGTGTGTAGGTGAGAATGGAATGGAATGGAGAGAGGTGGTAATGGTGGATAAATATATATAGACGATGGATGTATATGTTTCGTGAGGTGGAAATATGAGAGTCTAAAATTAATTAATTAATTAACATAAAAGAAATGAATTGAACTTAAGAATTAAGAGGGAGAATTGAAGCAGAAGAGAAAGGGTACGAAGCATGGCCAACGATGTTGAATATGAAGACGACGTTTGCTTTGGAAAAAGCAATTTGTCCACTATATTTAGGAGGGGTCCTCTCTTTTATATTTCTATTAATTTAACACATTCCCATGTATATATATATATATATATACATATATATATATATACATATATATA